AACGGAGGAACCGGACTCTTATGGAAATGGTAAGGGCAATGATGAGTTATAGTACATTACCAGATTCGTTTTGGGGATATGCCCTAGAAACAGCGGTATACATTCTGAATAGAGTACCTTCGAAATCAGTACCGTCTACACCAAAAATCACATCAAAATACCAAGAACTCGATTTTTAATGATTTTTTCGAAGTTTCTGCCCAGAATTAAAAATCGATATTTGACATAGTTGCATACATTATTTCGACCTACAAATTTTACACCACATAACATGCCGACAGAGGGTCATACAGTTCAAATTGCACGGCATTCGGATGACCATTCAATTTATGGTTATTTTAATAAAATTCAGCAGCATGAGTTGATTTAAAAATACATTTATGACCACATAGTCAACAAAAACGTCTAAGGCCTTCATCATGAGGCCAAAGACTTCAAATGTTCCAAAATTTCATGGCCCTAATCACGATTTACCAATAACTCACATGCTTTCACATATATCAAATATATATCACGATAAAATGATTACATCTCAACCCTAACATGCAAATCTCTCCAAGGCTTAACACATATCATATATTCACATAAAAATAAGGGGGTTTTATCAGCTTTGAACCGTTCTCGGGAGATTCGCACAAAAAGGGGTCGAACGGGACTAAAAGGGGGCTGCTAGGCGCACTGGGAGGGCCTGCGCTCGACTGCTGGGCGCCGGGAGGGCCTACGCGCGACTGCTGGGTGGTGGACAGCAACAGGGCGCGCGAACGGCGATGTGCCTGGTTTGCGGTGGGGCAGCGATGTGGAGCCTTCGAGGTGGTGATGATGGGCGATCGATTGCAAGAGAGAGGGGTGGAGGGCGATCAGTTTGGGAGAGAGAAAACTGAGAGTCACGAGAGATTGGGAGAGATTAGCGAGAGAAAAAGAGGGTGGATGCGGGGGAATTAAAATGATGAGGAAGAGGGTCCAATCTCTCATCGTTATAGGACTAGGGCTTTGACTTCATAGCTTAGTCAACAAGCTACCCAAGAGAGAGAGAGAGAGAGAGAGAGTGGGTCGGGCGGGTCTTAGGCGCGGGCGCGGGCTTGGGCCTTCGGGCCATGGGCGCGGGTCGCTGGTAAGTGACTTGGGCCGGTTAATCTCGGTTAACACTTAGAATAATTCTCGGGCACGGCTCGACGCAAAATAAATTTATTAAAATAATAATCGACAAATATATTTATAATACACATTTTTAATAATTATATTTAATACATATTAAGCACATAAAAATCATTTAGGTAATTAGACAATTAAATATAAATAAACACATAATAATAATAATAATAATAATAATAATAATAATAATAATAATAATAATAATAATAATAATAATAATAATAATAAAATAATCTAACTTTATTCATAAAAGAACGGAGCGCTACAGCAATAGTTGTAATTTTCCAATTGCAGTTCTAATTTCTTCAACCCCAAGATCTCCAGAAACATCCATCGGTAATGACAATCATACCAACTTAACAATAAAAAAGTAAAGAGTATTAACACAAAAAAACAATCAACTTTCAAACAAACATTTGAACATAAGAATTTCTACTAAAATGATAAATCTAATCTTAGTTGGTCGCATCAATAACTACTAATAACAACGCTAGTAGAATTTATAGCAATATAATAAAAGTCCACAAGCCTATGTAAATTTTTTATCTTCAACGAGAAAACATTTCGGAATGCTATTTTGTTCAATATAAGCAGGGGCAATGGCTCCGGCAAAAAAGGTCTAATACATACCAGGACAAAATTTCAAAATTGGTCCTATAACTTGGCCACTGTAAAAAAAACCACCCCTATATTGACCACTTTCAATTTAGGTCCTATAATTTGTCGATTTCATCAATTTTGGTCCTTTTTATCCGGACCCTGGATTAAAAAGTGATGTGGCATGACGTGTCAGTTTTTTAAGGTTACATGGCGTGATTATGATCTACGTGGCACGTCAATTTTGGTCCTATGATTTGTCGATTTCATCAATTTTGGTCCTTTTTTCATGCCACGTCACTTTTTAATCAAGAGTACGGATAAAAAAGGACCAGAATTGATGAAATAGACAAATTATAGGATCTAAATTAAAAGTAGTCAATATATGGTTTGTTTTTTGGACAGTGGCCAAATTATAGGACCAATTTTAAATTTTTGCCTACAAACCTGATGTGTTGTAAACCATTGACATCATTTTATCCAAATTTTTTACACTAATGTAAATCTCTCAATTTTTGCCTAGTTCTCTTCCTGAGATTATTTTCTCTGTCTAGAGCTAGGGTTCCCGTCTTTGGGATAATCTCAGTTTGCTCTCCCTGATTTTTGATCTAATCTCCTCTCTTCTTTGCAGAATTTGACTTTTTCTCTCTCTTTTCTATTGTTCTCTTCTAGCCCTCATTGTATTTATGGATTCCGATATCATCGGCAAACTCAAAAATTTCGATCTATCATCTAAGGAGGGTATAGGGGTCACCCTATCTAATAACGACATCTCCCTGGGCATTAAGGAGTGCTCACGCAGTCTTATTGGCAAAATCCATGGAGACAATCGTATTAACTTCAATGGACTCAAGGAAACGTTAATTCACATCTGGCGAACACAACAACCATTTACAGTCCGGCTCGTGGGATACAATCTCTTCCAATTTGTCTTCCAGTCTGAAGAAGATAAAAAGAAGGTCCTCTTGGGGAAAACTTGGAGCTTTGATGGGCAATACATAATTCTGAAAGAATGGACTGCAACCAACATTAATTGGCAGGATGAAGCTAAAGTCGATCTCTGGGTTCAAATTCATGGTCTCCCACTACATTGGATTTCAGTAGACACAGGGATCAAAATTGGCAAACTCTTTGACAAGGTAAAAGATGTTTATGTTCCTGATTCCGGCAGCATTACTGGTAGATGGATCAAAATTTTAGCCCAGATCAACCTCAATGAACCCCTACTCTGTGGAACTAAGATAAAATTGGGTGATGAATTGATTTGGGTTGACTTTAGGTACGAAAATCTACAGTCTTTTTGCTATTATTGTGGGATTGTTGCTCACGGGGAACGTGATTGCACTCGGAAAAAAGAGGATCTCAAAAGAAATGCGCTAAACACTGGCCAATTTGGCGAGTGGCTCAAAGCCTCCTTTACTTTCTCATCTGCCAATCGTGCTCGGTATCAGTCTGATAGAACTTCCTATAAATCAGGCAGCTCAGGAAAACCTTCTGAGGAAGAAGAATCCAATAAAACACCTACTCCCCATATGGCTATTCCAAACTCTATTAAGGCCACTTCTAATCCTCAAACCTCTAATGCTATACCTTGCCTTAACAAAACCACACAGGCTGAAATCCAACCCATGGTTGTTGAACCAATTGCTTTGTCCCCCCAACCTGCTATCAATGATATCCCTCTCGTTGATGTCCAAATCCTCCCAGCCCCTACCCAATTCAAACCTCTACCGACAAGATTGCTAACCCCTCTTATGCCCGTAAAAAAGCTCTTAAAACTTAAGATAATGAACTCATACAAGTTCAAATCTCTAATCTCCCTGCAACTGTTACATCTCTCTCAAAAAGACCTCTCACTGACATATCTGAATACCAAGACATTCAAACCCCCAACCCCAAAAAAACCAAACCTTCCCAACACCCTTCCCCTACCACAGAAAACAACCCATCACAATCCAGATTGGTGGAAGCAGCCAGCCATGACTGGGCCCAATGTTCAAAATGAAAGTTTCGGTGTGGAATTGTAGAGGTCTAGGAGGGCCCTATACAATATCCCAGTTCAAAGAGTCTCTAAGGACTCACCTCCCCGACTTTTTCTTTCTGTCTGAAAGTAAAAAAACAAAAAAAAAACAAAAAATTTGTTCATTCTGTTTGTACAAAGCTTAGATTTTCTAATAACTGGTTTTTTGAAGAGCCTATTGGCACCAAAGGGGGTCTCTTTTTGCTTTGGTCTGATAAAATTTCCATCCATGATATTATCCATAATCATTTTGCTTTGCAAGTTTGCTTCTCTTCTGTCAGCCATCCTTCTCCTATGTGGGCCATTTTCATTCAAGCCAGCAATGACCCAAATTTCGGACAAATCCAGTGGGACTTCCTTCTCAGTTGTATGCCCTCTTGGGGAAGAATGTGGATACTAGGAGGAGATTTGTAACACCCCACTTTGATTTTACAGAAATTTCGAATTTTCCAAAAACTAATATAAAATTTTCAAAATCATTTTCGAAAACTTTATGGGTGTTAACTAACATTTTTCATATCCCAAGTCTTATCTGGCCTACGGGGATTCATTACCCGGTTTTCACAATCAGTTTTCATTAACCAACATAAACTCATGAAATAAAAAGCCAAACATCAATCCCAAAACGACAAAGGTTCATAAGTTTCAAAATCAACACACGA